GAAAGACTCACATCATATGAGGTCTAACATAAGAAGAGACAAAGGAAGAAGAATCCAGGCAAAAATAAAAGTGAAAAACTCTGAGGTCCAAAGAGTTTGATATGTACCAAAATCTGAAAACAACACCAGCATTGCTGCAGTATCATGAGTAAAGGAGGAGTGGTAGCAGATACAGTTTGAGATAGTTAAAAGATAATGCATGCAAGACTTGAGGGTGGCAGGAAGTCATTGACAGTTTCTAGGCAGAGAAGTGAGATAATGTTACTTACATTTTTAAAAGCCATTCAAGCTTCTGGATGAAGAATGGATTAAAGTGGGACAAGAATAGTCACAGAGGAGCCATTTAGGATTCTATTGTAATAAGCCAAATGAGATACCATGGTTCACCTGGGAGATGATGATAAAGATGGCCATCAACAGTCAGAGATATAACTCTTCCAAAGAGAGAATCCACAGGGCTCACTGATGGCCTGAAGGTTAAGTGGAAGGAAACTAATGAGGAAAATGGAGACACTGAGGTTGGACTTTCAGGGTTTGGGCTTTAGAAACCAGGTGGATGGTAGCAGCTTTAATATTCAGAAGTAGAAAAGCTGGAAGAGAAGATTTAGATGAGTGTATCAGCAAGGGAGATTGAAAATCCACTTGGGATATGTTCAGTTTGAGATGCCTATGAGTCATCTGTTGAATATGTCAACAGGCAGTTTAACAGACTAGATCTCAGGGGAAATCATTGGACTAAAGATAGCCATTTAGAAATTATAATTAGATGGATAATATTTCAAAGTAATGGAAATGGAAGAGGAAGGAAGAGAAGGATATTTGAGAAGAACTCCTGAGAATCTCTGTTTAGATGTCAGGAGGAGGAGGAGGAATCAAAGGAGAATGAGGAGTAGCCAATAATGAAGCCATTCTGGATGGCAGAAAACCCATAAGGAATTATAAGAAAATGTCTACATAGAGTTGTGCTGTCATTTCAGGTTTTCAATTTATTATGAAGCTGCTCAATGAAGGATGTGAGTTTCTCCAACAATATTCAGTACTTCAACTCAAACTCAAAGAAAGTAGACCATGGACTGGTCCTATAGCCTAGTGTTAAGAGAGCCAGATACCACGTGACTGACCATTATTTAAACTCTGGACCTGGTGGCTTAAAAAATGCACTGGGCACATGTGTATGCATACCCCAAATCCCAACAAGGTGGAGAAATGGAGCAGAAAGGATTGCAG